CTGCCTATATGGCAGAAATTAAACAATGTAAATGCTGATTGGAGATGGACTGATTGTTGTCTCTTTCCATACAGAGACAGGTTTAGTTATGTTTTCATTAAAGGAATCTAATGGAGCAGTAATTGACAACAGGGGAGATGATGTCAAATAAACAGAAATTTCAAAATGATTTGTTAACCACAGTAATTACAGAACTCCTAGCACAGCTGAGGTGATTATGGCCATCTTCATTTTTCAGGATTACAGGGTTTGCCGAATTGATTTGTATACAGAACCTGAAGGGCTGGGAATCGTGACTTCCTTTTTTGACGACACTGAGGAGACGGGCGTGTTTGGCACCACTCAGAAGACCTGTTCTATCAAAGTGCACTGGGGCATGTAAGTGCATAGTTTTGTGTGAACGTGTGCTGCTATGAAAGGAATTCGTTTTAAACCATTGGTTACACCTATCAGACATGCAAGCAGGCAGAGTGTGTTTACTCTAGTCATATATTTTGGTAGTGTTTGTTGATGGCAGCATTAGGACACAGCATTGCAGTGCCCCATCCTTGGAGAGGCTGATCTCTCAGATGTTCTGTGCCAAAGGCAGTTCTTCAGCTTGCAGGGTGTAAACCCAGAGTAACCCTGGTGCACTTGTAGTAAAGGAATGAATTTTTAGCTGCTCCTCTTTCTCATTCAGCAAAACTTACCATCAGAAGCGAGAGTGGGGGAACAAAACTTAATGATGAGATCATATTTTCGTCTGCTTTCTGCTGTAAACTTGAAATCGCCATAGTTAAAGAAGAAAATTTTAAAGATCTTGTATTATCAGATGCAGTTTATTGTCATGTGTGGACTCTGGAAATCATGCTTACATTTCACAATGTGTTTGATTTGGTGCTTTTTATTGTGATGTTTAGGACACATATGCTATGTCACCTCAAAGCATCTAGCCCTATAAATTAGGGATTTAAGCAAGCTTTAGTGAAAAGGAGATTTCTAAAGAACACAGTTGTTACACAAATGGTAATTTCAGTGAGTTAATAAGTCAACCTCTAGATAAATATTGAAACCATGTCTCAAAGTGGTGCTGGTAAAAGCATGCAGAAGAGGATGACGGACTCCAGAAAAAGTGGGCGGGTGAAGCCACCTGCAGTGATCTTAGATTCTGCAGAGCATGTTCAGGGCTCGCAGATGGTGGTTGTTACCTGCTGGCTGTGTCCTACTAGTGTTTGCCACCTTACTGTTTGGTTCTGATTAATTCGTGTTGTTGCTCACATCTTTCCCATGTGTCACATTGCTCATATCTACAGCGCTATTTTTAACTCTTCTGTCCATCTGTCAGTAAGTATTTCATACCACTGCAAAGATATATTCAGATAGACTGATGAACAGAGCAATTTAGATCCTAGACAAGGGGTATTGTATTTGATTAAATCTTTATGCTTTGATTTGAAGAAAAGAGACAAAAAAGAAGCAATCAGGTATATAGCAAAATTTTAAGATCTTTAAGGTCTTGCTTCTCTGATAGGAGCTTTTTTTTTTTTCTTTCTGTAGAACTATGGGTTCAATCTGACTTAAGCATTTGCTAACAGTAATAAAGTCAGAGATATTATGCAGATGCTGATTCAGTCTGGAGGAAGTCAATTAATAAACTTTGTTTCTGTTTCTCACTTAGAAGCATTCTTGTCAATAGTGAAATAAAAGATCTTTGGAAAAGGAGTCAGAGCCTTTGCGTATCCATTAGATTTCAGACTAGTCCTTGTCTTGCATCAGAGAGAGAGTGTTTTTTGCACAAAATCTGAGTAAATTCTTGCATGCTAAATTTATTTGACGTTGCGCATGGATTCCTTACTGGAAGGCAGTCTCTGATATTTGCATCAGGAAGCAAAATAGATAGCTGGAAAATAATCTTTTTCAGATATCGGGTCAGGAGTCTTGTGTAAAAAGAAGCAGTTTCTGCCAACTGCATTCACAAGCAGTTAACTAAGAGTTGCTGCTGTTTTTATCATGTTGCAGTATTTTTTTCTTTCCTTCTTAAACTCACAAGTACAGCATAGGGCACTTTGCTGGCAGCTGAGGGTAGGCTTTGATTCTGAGTCACGCTGCTATGTGGGAGTGGCAGAACCTTCTTAAGGTTTCCCAGTACGTGCACTTAATTGCTGTTTATTAAAAGCTGCTGACAAAAACGAGGCAGCACAGCATTATCGTCTGATTGTGCCGTCTCCTGGGTCTCCCATGTGCTTAAATCATTGCAGAGGGGTTGAGGGCTCACTGTGTTCTGGCACTGCTTTGATCTTGTCAAGCGTGGGGTCCCTTGCACAGGATTTAGCAGTGTAACTACATGGAATTAGTAGGGTAACAATATATGGAACGTGTGGCTTTAAATAGCAATACAGGAAGAACTCTATTTGTTTCGTTGTTGATGAAATTACATAACTTGAACCAGCTTCCATTAGCTAAAAATATTAAGCATGTTATTTAAGCATAAATGCTAAGAATGTTAAAATGATGGATTATTTTAACGTCTTTTTTAATATTCCCAGATTTGTACATCTTGGTCTTTACATGATCAAAGAATTGGCTGCACAAAATGTTCCTTTTTAGTCTGAATTTTAAATTCAGTGGTATATTTCTTTGTTTCTAGTAAGTGATTGCTGCTTATGCTTTTTATTTTTTTTTAATTTTATTTTTTTGGAAAAAGCATTAGATAACTGCTGTTGTTATCCCAGTCAGGAGTTTTGAACATGATGACTTTCAAAGCAGACAGTTAGCAGGTACTAGCCATAAGGAAGCAGATTTCCAAGAAGCTGGAGGGGTTTTCACATACATAATAATGCAAGTTTCTCACTCTCTAGCAAACACAGTTGGAAACAAATCAAAATCTAGGTTAGAAGAGATCTTTCAACTTCTAGAAAGTTGTGTGTTTTAAAACTACTCTAAAATAGTATCCAATAATCTTAAGTCTTGAAACACCTATGAAACACCTTGAAATCGATCTATGTCTGTTGCTCCACATAAGACATGGCCAAATCCTTAACTGCCTGGTTCACTGTACTGATTTTCTTTTATCCTTGTTCAAGTAAAACGTGTGCCTTGTTGGTGCCTCTACAACAGGCATGGAAGTCTACCAAAACATCAGCTTATAGCTGGGGATGTTGATAAGGACAAACAACATTTTCTTAAGGGTCAGTGATGTCTTTTCTAAATTAAGCATATTATGTCATTGGGTTTTTTTTTTTAATTGTTTACTTTCTACTTCTCTGTGCTTTAGATGGCTAATTTATGAAGAACCTGGTTTCCAGGGAATCCCTTTAATGTTGGAACCTGGTGAATATCCTAACTTAGCCTTCTGGGAGAAGAAGGAAGCCTATATTAGGTCTATGAGACCCTTGAAAATGGTAAAATATTGTTATTACTTACAAGTTAAATGACTTGCATTTATATATCACAAGTAAATTTGCTAGATTTTTCTCATGAAAATGCATCTACAACCCTACAACCTCCCCCTTTTTTTTAACTCTTCAATTTCCAAAACTTGGTTGTTTCTATTTCTGTCTTCTTTTTTTTTCTTTTTTTTTCTTTTTCCCCTACTGTGCTCTTTGAGGAATGCTTCATATTAAAGAATTCTGGCTTTTGTAAAGAGGGTATAACCACTTAATTTTAAGTTATCTGTACTAACTGTATCTCTCTCTCTCCCTCCTCCTTTTTTTTTTTTTTTTTTTTAATAGGGTGGTCGCAAAGTAGAATTCACTAGAGAGCCAAAGGTAAGCATCTATTTATTTGATTGTCCACTTCATTACATGAACTACATGTGCATAGACGTATTTATTCTGATGATATCTTGCCTACTGATACTTTTAATGTCTGGTCCTACTGTATATGATCGCGTTGTACGACTGTAATTTCTAGCATATCTGTGCATCCATCACATATATCTACGCAACAGTATTAATAGGTGTCTGGATAATGCAGATGAGTAATTATATTAAAGTACTCATGTTTCACCTATAACCTTTTGAAGGAAGTAGAGAGATCCCGCTAGATAGTTTCATAATCTTGGCTTCTGTCTTTATGTTCCCCTGCAAAAGGAATTGTCTGCTATCAGGGCGTGTGTATCATGTAGTCTCCAGCTTTTTATTTGACTTCATTTCTGCCACAGGTCATCATTTACGAGAAGCCTTTCTTTGAAGGGAGGTATATGGAGGTAGAATCAGAAATACTTACGCTCAATGAGAAGGAATTGGAAGAAAAGGCAGTACTTCCACTTCCATCAGTGGGGTCCTTGAAAGTGCTGGGAGGAGTGTAAGTATTGGCAATATTTATCCTTCAGTAGATGTAATAACTCTGTAGGTTGGGATACTGGAATGTAGTTAATAAAATTCAGTGCCATACATAACAAGCTAGAAAAGGTTTCTGTAGTTCATGCCCTCTCTTCCCTTCCCTGCGCTAGAGTGGTCATCACAATGGGACTCTTTGCTTTGCTTGCTTCTGACAAAATTAACAAAGATTTTATTAGACTTGAAAAGATATGTAGAACAAGTTTCACCCTTCTGTTTTTGCTACATATCAGTACCTAGCAGCCATTCAGCAGCTCTGTTGTTGTATAGGTGGGTTGCTTATGAGAAGCCTGGGTTTGAAGGGCATCAGTACTTGCTGGAAGAAGGAGCTTACCGGGATTGGACGGACTGGGGTGGTTACGATGAAGAACTGCAGTCACTGCGACCTATCGTTGGCGTAAGTACCAAGAAAATGTTGTGGGTATCTCCTGAGCGCACCAAGACATCGTGTTGCATTTTCCTTATGATTCTTCTCATTGTTTTAACAGGATTTCACGAATTCCCATATGATAATGTACAGTGAAAAAGACTTTGGATCAAAGGGTTCTAATATCAATGTGTTAGGAATTATTTCCGATTTGAAGGACACCGGATACGGGCTGAGGACGCAGTCTATAAATGTGCTAAGTGGAGTGTAAGTGATATTTTAAAATACTTTTAAATTTGCTGTTACAGTTTTAGAATATGGTATTTTTATGAATGTTTTTCTGTCCTCTGACCTCTAATATCTATGTGGAAGATCTTCAGATAATTTTTTTTTCTGCCCTTGACTGCACAATGTAGAAAGTGCAACTCATTGTTTTTGTGAATATGTGCAGTAAATCAGTTTTTCCTCTCAAAATGAGAGCAGATGTTCCCAGGAAGTGCTGCCCAATTGATTTACAAAGTATGAAAATATGTGAGTTGACGTGTCATCATGGAGGTAAAAATGCCATGCTCTTATGACTTAGTTTTTACTGTTCTCTTCTAGCACCTTAGCAACAAAACTGTTATGGAACAAGTTTCCAGTTTGACGGATGCTTCTTGTGTTTAGCCAGAGACTAATCCTTAGCACTGCTGCTCAGTGCTGCACCTGTAAGATGACAGTAACACTTCTCATGCTTACTAGTAAATTCCGATGCTAGATACAATTTAAAGCTTTTTTGTTGTTGTTTGTTTTGGGAGTGCTTTTTTAGGAGAACAAAAAGTGGGGAGAGAAGGGTCCTAACAATAAGAGTTCAAGCTTTATCACGTGTGCTGGTGTGCCCAGCTGGCAGGCTGGTAGATGTAGCCGTTTGTTTTGTGCTGTACGTCAGCTGCAGCCCAAGTTTCATGGCACTGGGGCCTGCATCGAAGTGATTTGGAAATATTAGCAATTGTGGCCTGAAATAAACCATCTTTCTTGAAGAAAGAGAACTGAAAGTGTGAGCCGTGTGGCTTCTCTCCCTAACTGGCAGGCAGATGTCCCGCTGGAAGTGCTGCATTTCCAAGCTGCACCCAAAATCCATGTGATATCTGTGGAATTTTTGTCTAGATACAGACGGCAGAATCAAGCTTCCGTGTGTGCTTAAGGAATGCTTTTAATTGCAACTGAATGTGCTGGGACAGCTGGTCCCCTCCAGCCTGGTACCCTCTGTAGCCACCATGAAGCCACAATGTCTTCCCTAGTGCACAAGGGAGATGCATGGGAAGGAATCACATCTGGAGGCTGGGAAACAATTTGTGGGTTACCTACAGCCTCTGTGCAGCTGTTCCAGTAAATGTGAGTGCTGCAGCTGAAATAGGAATCCTGTTTGAGTTTTCGAGTGTTTTAATAATTGAGTGACTCTTCTCTAATACTTTTAAGATAAAGGTGGGTAGAAATTACTAAAAACAATTATTAGAAGCAAAGCACACAGGCTCTGCTGCTGCTCCTGTAACTTTACCTTGTAATTTTTAAAGGATGTGATTCTTGATATCATATTCAAAAAAAAAAAAAAGAACTTTTTAAAATTGTTGGTTTGTTTTAATGAAAATATGAGAGGTTCAGAGATTCTTCGTGACATTTCTTTAAGTGCAAGCACCTGGGGTAAGCAGTCATAGCTCAGATGTTGCCTATTACTGCTATATTTCTTGTGTAATTAGTTTGCTTCTGTACAATATAGAGGATGTATCAAGGAAAAGAGAGGCTGCCATTCCAGAGCACAGATATCCCTGAGCAAGTTCAGAGCTCAACTGTATGCTGAAGGTAGCCTGGATCTGCATTTTGGAAATGAGTAGTCTATTGTGGGTAATTGAGAGCTAGCTGGGGGTAATTGAGAGTTATTCTTCTGAGAAATGTTTCCAAGCAATACTTTGATGCCTTTGCTAAATCCAGTGTCAACACATCTTGAAAAATATAGCTAAAGGTGGCTAGGGTTGCCTTCTTTTGAAACAAATCAGTAAATGCTTTGCTCTTAGCATTCTTTGGAAACGGCCAAGCCCAAAATCCAGGCTATAATTATTTTCCTACCATGTTGCAGGGGGAATAAGGGAAGGAAAGTAGTGCAGACTCTTTGAAAATGGGAGGCCTGCCTGCCTGCCTTAAGTATAATTTTCATCTTTACTTCCAAATTGGCAGTATTGCAAATAGCAGAAAATGGAACTATTAAGTAGCAACAGGTAACACCCTTTACAAGTTTAAGCAAGTACTGAAAGCAACTGTGCTGTACAATTTATGATTTCCTGTTTGCTTAGTAACTCTTCTTGCTTATATTTAATAGTGATCAAAAGTATAGGCATTGCATCTTTTGAAATGCCTTTTCTTTCCAGATAAACACATTTTCGTTGCCCTAAACTTGTGCCAAAATCCCGAACATCTTTCTGTCAATCCTTTTTAAACTCCAAAAGAACTTTGCCAAACTAGTTTTCTATATAGCTGTTCATTTTACTGTAATCCTATAATTCATAATTGTTTTCCTAAAATTTTCAAACAGCTAGCCGACAGCGTGGATTTGGCTACCTCTAGCACATACAGTGATATTGTGAGATCAATGGGTGACGAGCAGTTCTTATACAGGAGTCAGAGTGTAATTTAATGTCATCTGGTCTACCAGATGCATTTGGGAGGATAATGTGGGTGAAACTGAAGAGATGCTCCCTACAAGAACAAACCTCTGATGTTATAGTGCCTACATGATGAGAAAGGGCAGCATTTTGAAAGCTAAAATTAAGTAAGGTGAATCCTGAGATAACCAGGGACAAAGCTGTTTTTCAGCAAGTCACAAGTCAATGATTTTTCTTGGCTGTTCCTCCATACCTTCCTTCGGGTTGTTTTCCTAGATAATCAATGTGTAGGGCTTTTAGATTTGTAGGTGGCAGCCATGGCCACATCTCTGCTCCCAGCTGCGTGGATGGTGCCATGGAGCGAGGTCTCCATCCGTTTTCAGGCTTGTTAAATGGGAGGACAAGCAATAAATGCTATCAAGAGATGCTTAGGAGGCATCTGGTGCATTTTATCATTGGCTTAATATCAGAGTCACTGTTTTCACAGGTGTCAGTCAAGCTCCAAGCAT